ACAATGCCCATCAGCCCTAGCCAAGCCACCAGAGGATGATGAGCAATTCTGGGAGCCAGCAACATCTGGAGGGTTACAGTTGCCTCTAAAAAGAATGAAGATGATCCGCTCCTCGTATATCAGGAATAGAGAGCATGGTACTACGGTATTGCTCACACTGACTCAACAGCGGGCCACACTGAGTTCAGCAGGCATTCTTCCAATCCAGAAGATATAGGGTCAAACTTAACCCCAATTTTTTGCCACTTCCCACAAGGGTGAAAACAGCATGATTACCGTTTCCTTCCCTGCACACACTTGGCATTTTGTAACCGAGGTTCTGGTGGACACCACTGTGTGGCCAGCAAGCCAGGTGGTGCTGGTCGTGAGTCTTCTCTAGCAATGAACTGCATAAAAGGTTGAATAATTTCTGTTCAGAGACACCAAGGAGGAACATTTACTTGCTCAACAGCTGGCTGCTAGGTGGGGCCCACGTGACATCCTCAGGTGAACCCAGAGAGGAACATTTTGGTAGCTGGATCCCAGCCAGTCACAACACCTTCCCACACCTTGAATGCACAGATCTTGGCCAAGGCTGTCTACTGAGCAGGGTCTGGTCTGGTTAATCCTCGAATGGGAGACCACTAGAGAACATCAGAGACCTCCAGATGCAGCTTAGAAAGAATCCTGTCATGAGCCCTAAAAATCTCTTGTTTCACAGTAATTGGGTGAGGTGAGCCCCAGGGTCTGATTTCACTCAGAATAAAGCAGCTTCTTCCATTCTCAGGAAATGTGAATTTAAAAAACTTGGGAGTTGTGCATCAACAACATATTCCTTGCATTGTGAGGAGAACTGACACTACATTACAAACCAGCGATTATTCTTCTGGCTATTTTTCCTGCTCCAGGCTGCTTCACTTAAGCCCCTCTGCATTAGCAGCTTCTGCATCATACTTCTCTCTCTGCAGAGAATCGTGTCTCAGTAGATGCTCCTAAGGCTTACAAGAAGCAGAGAAGCAATAAACAAAATTACAGGTTTTCAACTTGGTTCTTTTTAATTCTTGCCACCCCTTGGGGTATTTCTTGTTGAACTCCTGCTTCCAATTAAAGCCTTGGACCTTGGCCATCCAGAAAACGCCGGCAGGGCCGAAGAGGATTTCCCATGACTGCCAGCTCAGTGGCTCTTAACATTCTGTGTCAAGTTTAGTATTTTTTTGTTCCACAGCCTTACCCAAGCAGAAAAGAAAATGACAGAGCAGTGATCTAATTAAAGCTAATGAGCTGTTGACTGCCCAGTGAAAAACATAATTTGGGTGACAAAGTTCCAGGAATGGCATGCCACTGTGATTCATTCCAGGGTTAGGGAAGAATGAAAGCTGTTTTCTTCTTATTCCCCCAAGCTAGCTCCCATCCTTTATCTTCCAGGAGCAAAATCACAAAGTGTTGTGGGATACAGTGATGTTTCCCACAGCCCAAGGGGAGGAAAACAAAGATTCCCTACCCATTGCTTGTTAAAATGCATGTATCAGTCTGGAACGATCCACAGTGGTGGCTTGACCTTAAAAAGCCCCATAGGCTCTGGAGTATATTTGGAGTAAGGCACAGATGGATCTAATATTATTCATTTGGAAAGCCCACACGTCCTTATACACTCAACACATTTACTTGCACCAGAGGTATTTCTCCAAACGGAGCGTTCTCAGAAGCACTACTCGTTCTCTGTGCAGGGCCAGCTCGGCAGGCGGCGCTCAGGGGGTCTCAATGCGTGGACCCCTGAGCTCCCCTGGTGGTGCCAGGGGGAGGGGTTTGGATTCATTAGGCACTGGGGAACGTTTTGGGACACGCTGGGCAAGAGGGCCAGGCTTCACTTGAACGGTCACGGAACCAGACTGCGGGCGCTCAACATTGAAAAGGTGGCACAGAGGCTTTTAAACTGAATCCTGAGGGAAAGCTGACAGGAGCCGAGTGGCGTCCGGTTCGGGATTCTTCATCCCTGTGAAATGAGGGTGGAGAGAGTACAGAACCAGAAAGTGATGACTGTGTAGGAATTAGGACTGGGGGTGTGATGGGACTTGAGAGTTGGTCCACTGGAAGGAAAAGCTGTGGAAAAAAAGAAGCCCTATAGAAGGGTTTTCTCTCTCTCTCTCTCCTAAAATCACCCCTCCCCAGATAGGTGGCTCCAGCTTCAGGAAGGCTGAGGTATGGCTTGTTAAATCATTAACCTGCTTTCTCCAAGTGTGTTCTGTGCTCTGAGGGAGTTCTGAACTTAAATTTGATGATCTGTCATGGACAGGACACCATTTGTACAGGAGCCTGTATCTCCACTCTGTTCAATAAAGCTCTCAAAACTATTTACAGTATTAAGAAAATGAAGAAATTCATTAAGTGCCTTCTGTTTTAATTCATATAACAAATGGCAGAAAGTTTTTGTGATGGCAGTTTTTGCATTCTCATCAACAATGTTTCTAGAATATTATCTTTCCCTGACCGTCATAATTTTTGTTACTGGACTGTTTCATGGTGAACGTGGTTCTTATTCTGTCTGGGTTTTTTAAAGAGTACAGAACAAACTATTGTCAAGTAAATCAACAGTGTTCGCCAGACAGTGTCAAACCTTATGCAAACTGGGGATCTCGATTAGAATTTGGGCCCCTCTTCCTCTTTATAGAGAAATAACACTCCATGGCAGGCAAAATGGCTCATTCTGTTTTGTGGGTGCCTTCTGGCAAGTCCAGCAAAAAAAAGTTTTGAATGAATGGAGCTCATTGTTCCATCATGAGGGCAGAGCACACAATACACTGGGGGTCTCAGCCTCCATGAAAACACTGGCCTACTTCATCCAGCAGAAGCCCTACCTGTGTTTTCCTGGCCTCTGTCCCTGTCGGCCTCGTTGTTCTTTCCTGCCATTCTTTCCGCTGCTGGCTGCAGAGAAACGGGCCTTCGGGGAGTTTTGGTGGTGGTGGCAAGTGGTCAGCGCAGAGGCAAGAGATGAGCACGACAAGAACACCTTGTGACTGTGTCTCAGCCTCCCGTCGGTACCTGGAAGGGAAATGGGTGGGGTGAGCTATGCGCTCAAGCGTCAGGAGCCATAACATTCAAAGCTGGGCTATTTCACAGTATTTCGCTTTGCTAGACTCAGGAAAGGTCTGTATACCTCTGCTAGTTCAAAATGGGGAGAGAGTGTCTCCTTTTGACTGGGCTAATATAGGCTCATGTGGATCTTTGAAAGTCGGTCTGCTTTTAAGTTATGGAGAAGTTTCCCATCTGGCAGAACAGAACCAACTGTGACTCCGAGTGTAGCGAGCAAACTGAGATGTAAATATTTAAAGTATAATAAATAAACATTAAAATGCTAATAGAAAACTAAAAAAGAAAATATGTCAAAGATTAAAGGACTGGGTGAACTATTGCAAATGCAGAACAAAAACTGAAATTTCTGGATTCAAATTTAAGTACTACACTCATATAATAAGCAAAAATGCTTCTCCCCCCCCCCCCCGCTGCCAATATCCCTGCTGGGGCTGTTACAAGGAAGGAAGAGTATAGCACGTAGCCACATTTGCTGCCCTGGGTTGCCTGAAGGAAAAATAAAACATTATGGTTAACAAGAAGCTCTTCCCTTGGAAAAAAACTGGTTCATTTCTAAGCAGTGTCAAGAAGAATCTTATGTTTGGTCACAGCTAGAGAGGAGAATTGGCCGGGCAGCCTTCTCTGGCAATGTCTCTTTAGACTTCAGATTTCCCCATCAAGACTCTAATCTCATCACTCCAAAGCATCCTCCACGGTGGCTCAGGGCCTTGTTTTCTTAATTCTAGGATGCGCTACGCAAAATCCAATTGACGTACTTATATGGTCAGCCACATCTGTATCATGGGGGAACGAGAGTTTTCCTTCTGGCTTGTCATTTGTTCGCAAAGGGTGATCGGAGTTCATACATGGATCTTGAACAGAAGAGGTTGCCTTGAAGACCTGAGGGATGAATGAAGATGATTTTTTTCCCCTCTCCCTCCAGCGCCAGCTGTCCCAAGATACTCTTTTGCCCATTGACTTTATGAAGTTTTTGTTTTTGAACTTGGGTGGCTGGTGCAACGGCAAAGCAGTAATCTTGACCAGCAACTCCCGAGTTAAATGTGTGTGCGGTGTGTGTGTGCGCGGTGTGCGTGTGTGTCGTCCAACTCTGGCAACTGGCAACCAGGGACAAGAAATTTATTTTTCAAAAGCAACTTTGTGGCAGGAAAATATCTGAAACAGAGTGAGGGCAGTTCTATGACACAGCCGTCAGATCCTTATCCATCTGAAAAGGAACTCAGGCACAAATATTTGCTAGCTGCACCACTGTCTGGCACCCCGCAATCCAACAGGACTTAGCTTGGGCTGGTTCTCCTATCCTGTGTCAACAATCAGAGATGTTAATCTTTTAGACAACCGTGTGCAATATTTAATGCAACTCCCGTTTATACAATTAAAAATGCTTATTGGATTTGGTTAAAAAAACCCTACACTAAATCCTAAAAACCTTTATACTGAAAATGCTTCAAGTAAAAGGGAGTGTTAAACTAAGAAACAAATATAAATGCCTTTAAAACCAAACCTGTAATGCTCGTTTTAAAGGCAGTTAACCATCAGGATGATACCAGGGCCGGTTTTCCATCAATCTTACCATGCACAAAAATTGACGAAAGCTTCAAAATTTCCGTATCAGGATGTTATGAAAAGGAGTCCGGCTTAACATCTACATAAACTCACCTAGCAGCCTGGTTGCTATGGAGGCGGCAGTTGGAGCCTGCTTACTAAGGCTCCTCCCCTTCGCGCCCCGCCCCCTGGGCTCCGAACGCGGCGGCCATGTTGATCGCCGTCACCCCTTTCCGATCCGCTCCCGGGCTTTTCCCGCCTGATGACGTCTCAACGGCAGAGCCACGCCCACCCGGCGAACCAAGCGCCGGCCCGGGAGGGCGGCCGAGAAGAGGCATGGGAGGGAGCGCGCGTGTGGGCGTGCCTAATAGGGCGGGAGTGGGCGGGGCCCGACGGCGCCGGCAGAGCCAATGGGAAAGGGCAGGGGCGGGGACTGCCGCGCGAAGCTCAGGTAACAGGTTGAGCAAGTGAGAGGCAGAGAAGGTGGGAGAAGCGGTCGGTGCTCGGCGGGACAGGTGGGGCGGCCCCTCAGGAACCAGACGGGTAAGCCGGGATGGGGTGAGGGAAAAAACCGCCCCCCCATTTGCTTCTTCTTGAACGATAAGCCTCCTGTCCTCCTCCTCCTTTTAAGCGGCGGTCCGGCGATGCTTCTCCACCCGGGTTGCCTCTCTAGGTCCGTTGGGACCCCCCTCCCCGGCCCGATTCCCACCTCCGGGCGGCCTCCCCGCGTTGCTGCCCCGTAAAGGGATGGGGAGAAAGAAGCGGCGCATCCGTTCGTGCATGTCGAAGGCTGCCGCTTTCCAGTGGTGGGTCGTTCCCAGTTCGCACCCTTGCTTCCAGCGCGCGCCTCAACCCTCTCGCTCCCCTCCTTGGCTGCTGGCGGGCCGGCCTTGAGGGAAAGCCAGTCCCCTTCCCTCCCGCCGAGTCGGGCAGCAAGAACCCCAGAAGAAGCCTGGGCTCCCTGGGGTTGGGTGCGCTCTCGGGACTTTCTTCCTGAACCCAGGGCAATCCTGGGTTTTTCCAAAACTTTCTTCCTGAACCCAGGGCAATCCAGGGACTGAGAGAAGTCTGCGTGATTTGGGTGTGTGTGTGTGTGCCGTCCCACAGTTCTAGGTCTCTGGCATGCGGGACTCGGGGTGGCTGCTGAGGAGAGCAGGCGGCACCCAACCTGAAGGAGGTGGTGGTTTCTGTTTACAACCAGAAGGAAGCCCAGAGGAGGGCGGGGGAGGATTCAGATGGGAGGCAGTTGTGTGCGCGTGCATGCACCTGTGCAAAGCTTTAGGAGAGCAGCATGTCCCCCCCCCCTTTCAGGGTAGCTTTACCAGAGAAAAGTCAAGCCAGGATTCTGTGTAAGAGGTGTGACTACAGAATTTTCCATGGTGGTTCAGTAAAGAGGATTGCCATGTCTGAAGTAGAGGAAATGTAAAACGGGTAAAATTAGATGCATGGGGTAATGTGTAGGTAAACTGAATCTCTCAGCCTTCTTCCACTGGGGAGAATGGAGGGGGGAAAGGATGTAATGGATAAACAAGTAACACAAAAGTGAGGGACTAATTATGAAATACAAGTAAAAGGCTGGAATCTTTCTGTTATCCAGTGTCCTTTGTATCCTTATTTGCTATCAGATGCCTCAAGAAAGCCCGTAAGGCTGGTCATGAAAGTGGTGTCCTTTCCCCAATGCGTGTTTGCTTGGCCAGAGAATCAAAAGTTTTACTGATCTTGAACATGGAGGTTCCGTCTAGATACCTTGCTGATCGCCACCAAGAGAGGTGTCCTCCATGAACTCTCCTGTTTCTGTCAGGTTCGGCTGTAGCAGCAACACAACTCATATGACTTCAAAATTCAGATTACTGCTCTATGGTCTTACTAGACCCCTTCCCTGATGTGGAGGAACTGAGCCCTTGGCCGCCCTCTTTTAAGTGTTTTCTCCACTCACTGAGGCCCCAATAAGGAAACAATTCCTATCCCTGCTCACTTCGGGGAGGAAAGGCAGGGGCCTTGCCCCTCTGTGCCCTGGATAAGGGTAGGAAAGAAAGAAGGGGGCGAGCAAGGCTCAGTGAGGGATTTCACCCCGTCCTCTTCAAACAGATGTTGTAAGCCAGCTGCAGAGCAAAGACCGAGGGCCGCCTCCCACCCGCAGGGGTCCGAGGACAGCTGCCCTCACCTCCAGCTGGCAGGAGGAGGTCCAAGCGAGGGGGCCACAGCCCCTGCCCGCACCCCCTTTTCCTCCTGCTATTCTACAATAATTTCTCCTCCCTCAGGAATGCTTTTTTCCTCTTTCTGTTTAAGTCTGCAGGGAGAGAACCACTTGCTTAATGCCAGCCAGCCTTTGTGAAGGTGTGCCTGGGAACGCAAGCCCGTTCCTGCATTCAAAGGGTATTCTGAAGACTGGCACTTCCCAGTGCTTTGGCTCAGCAGGACTCTTGACCTCTTCCCTCTCCTCTTATTTGTCTGGTGGTTTTCTTTTACACCTGCAGGGTTTATGTCCTTCCTCTCCCCACCCTCTCTATCAGCTGATGGAAACTGGAGTAAAAGCTGAAACTCCCCTTTCACTTTCTTGTTTTTTTCCCATGTAGGGCGAACAATATTCCTGTGTCTGCGAGAACTGCTAGGCTGGGGGGGGGGGAGGCCCGCACGCACGCACGTTCCATAGGAGCCAGACTTCGTTGCTTAATTGGTCCCTGCTGGAAAGAATCTGACTGTTGTCAAGTCCTGTTTGGATAAACGAAGAAGGAAAACTTAGATCTTGCTAAGTAAACCACTGACCTTTTTTTCCGCCTTCCTTGTTCCAAAAGGGCCCTGGCCTCTGGAGATTTCAGTGAATCTGGGGGCGCCGTCAAAAGTCACCACCTGACAGACAAGCGGGGTGGAAAAAAGGACAGTCAATATTGATTCTTGCCCTGCAAAGCCGACTGATTCTTAAAAATAAGTGTCATAAACAAACAGGGCTAGCAAAATTGAGCTCCTAGGCCTTATGGGGGTTGCCTCTTTGCACCCTCAGATCGTCCCCCCAAAATACCAGGCTTTTGTGTCTGACATGCCAGCCTTGAGCTATTTAGGTGGGCTTGTTGTTTCAGGAAATTCCAGTCCAAAGTCCCTTTGGGCACCTGCAATTAGTGAGGCGGTGAGGCAGGGTCCAAACCATTTCCTTGGCAAAAACGGGCTTGGAACTTGCTCTCAAACTAATTAAAAACCTGACCCCCTGCCTCCCCCTAAAAAGCTGGTGACTGTGCCCAGCACATATATGATGATCAGACTACTGTGCATACCTATGTATAACTTGCTTCCATGCAAATCCTAAAAGTGATGTTTATAAATTATATCCCAGCTGTGAAAGGGACTTTCCAAGATTGCTTGGCAGTGCAGAAAATGTATTCCATGCTGGATCAGTGGCATCGCCTTCCACTTCCACTGCTCGCTTCTTTGTTTTAGGGCTGAAGCCCTGCTTAAGTGAAACCTGTGCTTCCTACTGTAATGCAATGCTTTAAAAACATTTAACAGCCATTTCTTGGGCGGCCTCGCTTTGTTGCTCGACGTTCTGGTGGACGATCTTCTAGCACAAGACAACCTGAGCCACTGGGGCAGCAGAACTGTCTGAAAAGTGGCTTTATTTCTACTGTTGAGTTGTCCCTTCGTGAGTGACGGGTCTGGTAGTTCTGGTTAAGGGTGGCGCCAGTGTCATACTTTCTGGGCGGCGTTTGCTTAGTGTTTAGCCCTGCATCAGAAGAGGTTGCAGAACCGAGCTCGTCTTCTGCCCTTCCTCATGTTGACTGTTCTGTAATTAATGCTTCCTGACGGACAACTCATTCTTTTTTGCCCATTCATCCTCTGTCCTCATTAAAAAAAAGGAAAAGATCAACCCATTTCATAGATCAGGAGACTGTAGAGCTAAGCGACTTTGGCATTCATTCCACTAGTCTGTGAGGAAAAAAAAACTCTTGAGTAGATTCTTCCTCTGGGGTCACAAGAGATGTTGTGTGTAGGGATTGCCATCTTAAAAAATGGTTGCAGTTGGATCCTACTGTTCTTTATTCCTCCTGCATCAACCCACTGGCATGAAATTCATGGGTGCTTGCAAAATGCATCTTGATTCTTGCGGCATGTGCATGTGTAACGGCACAGTTATGGAAAAAAGAATATTTTGCTGCTGCCCCTCAGCGTGCACATACTTTGTTCTGATTGCGCTGCAACCATTCTAGAAGTCTCACCAGCTCCATGGTAGGATTTCGTCTCCTTACGTGTTTTCAAAACCAGGGAACTAGTTACAGACGGTTTGCTCCCTCTCTTTCTTTTGGAGGTCAGTGGAAGATGGGTGATTACAGAGGAATTCAAGGCAGCAGGCAGAAGAGAAGGGACTCTTAGGGTTAGGGAATTAAAAATCCAAAGTGCTCTCAGATTGCCCCATCTTGGCTAGATTATGAGAGTTGTAACTAAAAATTTCATGCTTGGTTTAAAAACATGTAGTGGTTTTTTTAAAAAAATATGTTCACAGGGTATTAAAGATGCTGTGCCCTTATCGAAGAACCTATGCTGAGCTGGATCAAATAAGTCTCCAATTATTCCATTTTAAATACTTGTTCCTATTTCCCATAACATCTGGACAGTGCCATGCCTTGCCACTTTTAATTCCCCCCAAACCCATTTTGAGACATGTATGGCACTCACTTCTTAGTGCTCATCTCACATGGAATCTAAGCTTTGAGTATGTGCCACTGTAACAGTCACACATTTTCCCCTATCTTTACTTGTGCCTCCATTTCCCTGCCCTTCCTCCGTCGTTTTGCCCTTCGTAAACATTTTTAAACTGTACAAGCTTTGTAAGCTCCCATGGGCAGGACTTGTCTTCCTGTACTGCAGTGCAAGCAATATAAATTATGAAATAGTTGTTTTGTGACACTTTTTAAAACTAAACAACCAATTTTATTGTGTGAGCTTTTATGAATTATAATGCACTTTTTTGAGACAAACATTTGTGGACTACAAATAGGTTGTTATCCACAGAAGCTCACACTGAAATATATTTGCTGCTTTTACTGAAGCTGCAATTCTTCTGTTTTTGTTAAAACAGACTAAGATGGCTAGACTTTTGAAACTTACTATCAATTTGCAAGATAGTTTTGCTATCCCTTGTATGTTTGGGAGAGAGGCAGATTAGTTGTTTTGGAAAAAGTTCAAAACTTCCTTGCCCACCCAGAAATGGTTATGCAGTTTTCCAGATCCCAGTTGATAATCCCTAGAGTACCAGTTTGAAGTAAATACTGCTGGTTTTTTGAACCGAGATTCTTTTCTGTTCAGCCTAATTTCTCCTGTCCTACCATTTTTTAGTTTTAATCCTTCTTCCAGCCTGTTAAAAGACTGCTTTTTTGAGAAGGCTCCGGTTTCCGTTGGATGGAGCTCTTAAGAAGTGCCAGGTATGCAGCTAAAAAGTTCTTAATTGGAATGCTGCATGACCCCAAAACACAGTGAGGTTTTTCCACCCTTCTAATGATGAAGAATGTTTAAATAACTGCCTTGCTGGCCCCTCACGCCACCCCCATGAACTG